GCTGGGTATTTTACATACATGACTTGTTTAAACATCATAACAACTCTGCAAGACATTATCTCATTTTTCAATTTGAGGAAACCAAGGCTCAGAAAAGTTCAATGAATTGCCACAGATCGCAGCACTGATAACTGTCAGAGATGGGATCTGATTCCAGGCAGGTCTGTCTGACTCCCAAGTTCATGCTCTTCTTCCCGCAGCATTATGATAAGCTCTAAAACGTTGGTCCCCAGAGGAGGAAAACTCTTCTTCAAGTCGGGGACAGTTTCTTAGACATCTTTGTATTCCCCCACAGTGCCTTGCCGTGCTTTACATGGCAAGGCCCTCAACAAATATTTGCTGAATGAAGAAACCTGGGCTCAGGCTCTAATTCTGCTATGGACTTAGTGACTCAGTCTCTTGCAACTTGGAGCTGCAGGTGGTTACTCAGCTGGGCAGCTTCAGGGAACATTTGAAATCAATTATGGGTGAGGAGGAACCTATTAAATTTTCCTTTTGTGTGTGTCGAGGTTGAAGAAGAGGAAAGGAAGTTGAGAAGGAAGGGAAAGTAATAGGATGGTTTAAGTGTTGGGCACTAGAGCTTAAAGATTTCACACCAGGATGGGACAGAATTTGCCTTATATCCACTACTCATTTCCAATGGTCCATCCAAATGGTCTCCTGACCTCAGGCTACTCCTAGGTGTCCACATATCCCTAAATTGGCAGGCCCCTGAGTAACCACTTTTATGGAGGACCCAGAAACATTGGAGCAACTGCATATGGTTGTTTCCAGGCCTCAGCTGCTTGCTTCACAGCTACAGGAATTAGGCAACTTCAGAAGGGCTAACTTGAAGGGGGCCAGCAACCATCACTCCCCTCTTCTAGCCAGAGAGTCTTAGCACCTGAAGACTCTGAGGCCTACATTGTCCTCAGACCTCAACTGAAGTATTCTGGCAATCCATTCTGTAGTCCAACTTCCTATTTTGGAAGAATTTGGGAGTTTGGGCTTGGGCCCCCCACTGTGGGGGAAGTAGGTAACTCTAGTTGATTTTATTATCTTTACTAGTTGCTACAAGTTGCTACAACCCTAAAAATGCCGCTTTAGCCTTTTCACACAGGCCATCCAAAAAAGACTTGTATGAAACTGACCCTGAGGGATGAATACCAAGAAAACTCTGGGATGGGGATGATTAAATACAGCCCAGAGGCCACGGGAGGGACAGCCCTCCAATATCAGACACATTCCCAACTACGTGGCTTCCAAAGACTCGCCTACTTCCCTGTGCATGAAGCAACACTGCCACCTAGTGCCCTATGTGAGAAGTATTCCCTACGGCACCACATCTCATGGGAGGGTTCAGGTACAAGGGCTGGTGTAATTGGATTGCTTGAACTCCCTGTTGAAAATAAAATTCTCCAAGTTTGGTAGATTGAGAACCTGGAAACTTGGTTTACATTAAGGAGGCAGAAGGTGAGGTTTGAGAGCTACTGGAAAAGAATGTGGCAGTCAAGTTTTGCTGCACCTTGGATTATCCTTAGTGGAGCAGCAGAAATACAACAGCTGTGTTTAGCTCCAAGGAAAATGCGTCTATTGTAGTCCTTCTGCATTAAGTGAAGGCCAACAATCCTAGCAACAGGTAGTAGCCAACTAAAGGGCCAGTGGGAGGGTAAGAGAGGGAAGTCTGGCTGATCTGTTTGATACAAGTGAGTAAATTAATGCAAATCAGAGACCTTTACTCCTGAAGGACTCCAACCTCATGGTTCTCAGCCATGGGGTCCACAGGTAAACTGTAAGTAGCTAAGCACTTACACTCAGACAAGGATGCCTGAGCCCTCAGGAGCACAGTTGCCAGAATCCTGAAGAATGAAGGTCTTGTTCCCAACCCCTGTCTTTCCTAGACTTTAAGTCTGCACTGAATATTTGCTGATGTGCACAAGGAGGAAGAAAGATACAGGATGGGAGGTGGAGAAGAGATAGCCCTGGGTATTCCCTGTCCTGGTGGGTTCCTATCCCTCATCTTCCTGCAGTGGACCTAAAAAGGAAATACCAGTACATCACAGGGGCCGCTTTGATTTGAGGAGAAAAAAAACCTCAGAAGTTAGACTGTCTGCAAAAGATTTCCTGCCCAGGAGTACATGTGCATGTATATATAGGTATAGTTATGGGCATTTGTATATACTTATTTGTATGTGCTGCATATATATATTCATATATATACAATAGAGTGCACAGCGGGCACAGTTGTGAAAACTTCTTAGACATATCCAAACACCTCATGGGACTGAGTTACTGGATTTGAAGGCTAAGGACCATAGTCACTGGGGACATTTAGGTCAATTGGCATAACACAGTTCATAAAAATAATGTTGCACTTCCTAGTTTGGTAAATAGCATCTGGGGCCTTAAAAAGCTTGCGAGCGGCCATCTAAGATACAACTCTTAGTTTCTTCCCATCTGAAGCAAAGGAGAATGAAAGAAACCAAAGACTTGAGGAAGCAATTAGTTCACAGGATTAATGGCCTACAGGAACCACAGCCTCCTGTAGCCTCAGACCACAAGAACTAGATGGTACTCGGCTCCCACTACCCGCTCTGACCAGGGACACAATAGAAGGTCTCAGCTAGAATGGGAGAAAAATGTAGAACAAAACTCAAATTCATAAAAAAGACCAGACTTACTAGACTGGTAGAGACTAGAGAAACCCCCGAGACTATTGCCCTAAGACACCCTTTTAAGCTATAACTGAAGATCCTCCTGGAGGTCACCTTTCAGCAAATAACAGATTGGCCTATAAAATAAACAATAACACCCATGAGGAAAGTCTTCCTTAGAAGAATCAACTGTACGAGACCAAATCGGCAACATTCACTCAAAAGCAAAGATGAGAAGGCAAGGAGGGGCAGGGAAGCTGGAGGGATGGAAACGGGGAAGCCAGGGCGGAAATGGGGAGAATGTTGACACACTGCAGGGATATCAACCAATGTCACGGAACAATTTGTGTATGAACTGTTGAATGGGAAACTAGTTTGCTGTGTAAACTTTCACCTAAAACGTAATGAAATGTCCCAAAAAAAGGTTTTCTGCCCAATTTTGTATGCTTAAGGTTAATAGAGTTCAGATGGGCACTTTGGGGAAGGATCTGAGTGTGCAAGGTGGGTGGGGTGGTTGATGGTGGTAGACAGGTGGCGAAGGGAGGGAGTGCTATACCTAGAATCAAACCATGATGCTACTTTCCTCCATGCAGAGCATGAGACGGGAGGACATGGAAAGGACAGGACAGGGGTCAGGTACCTTCAGTGTCCTGAAACTGTTTCCCCCAGGACTGGGCTTTAATAACCTAATGCAGTATAGTCTCTTGAACCCTCCCATACGTATTCCCGTTGGGGCCTTCTCTAATTCTGTACAGCCAGGGAGCTGACTTCAGGTCCTTGTGTTGCTACTGCAAGAGGAGGGGTAATCAGAGTTGCGGGGCTCGGTCTAGACTGAAAGCACACAGTTTCCCTGGCAGATGGGTACTAGGAAGTGAGATGAGGCAGTAAGAAGATGTCATCTGGGAAAAACTGTGAAGCTGCCAACTCCGATCAGATAATCATCTCATTATTTCATCCATTTGGCTCCAGAGTAAGGATTTCCTTCTACTCTTTCTCTGTCCCCCCCGCCTATCTTACAGCCCAGCCCCTTCTCTCTCCCCTCGCCTCACCCCCTCTCCCACCAAAAATAAAATAAAGCAAAACCACAAGACTCTAGAGTGCTCAGTGTCTGGGAATCCCAGCTTCCAAAGGAAAAATCACAGCCAAAGAGGGGGAGACAGAGTGTCCAGAAGGGATGTTCCAGCAACACCCCATTGAAAGAGGCTCCCTCAGTCCAGATTTCTTTCCTGTTGGTCTGAAATTTATTCACAGACATCCAGCAACCTGAAGTTTTTAATTTGAGGAGTTGTCAAGCAATTCGGGGCCCTAGAATTCTATTCCTAGCCCGCATCTGGCACACTTCTTATTGCCTTACTTTCCCCATCAATGTAATGGGACTAGCCAATATCAAAGGTTGTTGTGGATGATGCAAATTAACAAGATTAAAATGGTTCTATCATGTGCCTAGCTTTGGGTTAGGTTCAGTCATAGGGAATTCAATAATGTAATGAGATATTAAATAATGATATATCAAGTCTAATCACCCACCCCTTGCTTGAAACCAACCTCCGCAGTAAAGCTAAGGAAGACAATTACCTCTTTTCTTCACCACAAATGCCCAGATCTGGGTATAGGGGAAAACAAATATGGGTAATGTTCCCAGACAGGTGCCTCTGGTGAAAATCATAGAGTTATAAGGTTGCATTTTTAGGTCCCTTTTAAAACAGCCAAGACTAGAACCCAGGATCCTGGCTGTGAGTGCCTACCTTTTCCATAAACCCCACCTCTTGTGTTGGGCACATAATTATTGGAACAAAGTAAAGGGAACCCCAGGACCTGGACCAGGTAATACCTTTCTGCCAAGTTCCAGGTCTGCTCAGAGCAAAGGGAGGGAGCCAGTCAGAACTTGATGGCTGCGTACCTGGCAGCCTTATGCCCTCTCACTGCCTGGACCAGGCCAGGCATGACTCACTGCCCAGGTCCTTGAGCTCCCATCTATTTTCAAAGTTGCCTGGGTATCTCATACAGGACTATGAGAAATGGAGTCAGATACCTTTCCTCACTGACAAAGAACCAAAGAGATCATCTCCTTTAAAGAAGAGCCAGAGGGTTAAGCTGAAGGTCTTTTAAGTGCAAACACAACCTGCAGAGCTACAGGTGATCAATACAAGGGACAAATGCTGTTATGGTTATAGAGTCATTATAGTCAATGGGGTCTGGAGTCCTACTGTGCAGATGAATAAAGGCCCTTCCCCGCTCTCCCTGGCCAGCCCTTCCTGGTTTCCCTACTCTGTCCCCTTTCCCTTCTTGCCCCCTATGTCTAGCCCAATCAGAAATGGAGCCAGCCATACCCTGAAGACCACAGAAAGCCTAGGAATGGGTTATTACCTGCTATGATGGCTGGGTTGTTCTGTCCTCCCTCTGGTTTAACCCAGGCTTCCACTGTGAACGCCTCCCGGGGAATCTCAGCCAGCACTTCTGGACGCAGCAGCAGCCTCTCCAGCCTCCCTGAGAAGTACAAGACAGGCAATCCTCCTTGGGGGTGAAATGTATCTCCTTCCCAGTAAGGGTCACCTCCACTGTTTTGGATGCTGTCCTCCGATGCACTGTTTCTGACCCCATGCATAAGGGGAGGCTTAGGCCGACGGTGGAGATGCTGAAGAGAGATGTCAGGGTCTCCTCGCACGCCCTCTGCCTGCCTCTTCACCACTAACCGATGATGCCTAGTCTTGGCTCGGCCCTTCCTTTGGGTCTCCGGTTTGGGTTTCTTTGGGCGTGTGAAGGCGGTGGTAATGGTGGCAGCAGTGGCTGTGCTTTCCTGAGTCCCAGCCTCACCTACAGACTCCTTGGGTCCTCGATTGCCAAGATAAGTGTCATCATCTCCCAGCAGCTCTGATTGCCCAATCGGACCATCCCCTACCCACGGGACAGCTGGCTGCTCAACCTTACTCCTCACTCCTGCTGAATTTCCAGTCAGGTCTTGGAGAACATGGCTCACTGCCTTCTCCTCGCTGTCTGTCTTACTGTGTCCTGCATGGTGGGTTCCCTGCTCCCCCTCAGGGTAGGGTCTCAGGTAGTTCCCAGGCCTGCTGGGGTAAACCCCAAAGAGGTGATGCTGGGGAGCAGCTCTGGGTCTTCGAACCTTGACCCCCAGCCAACAACGTTCCCCTTCCAACAGCACCTGATTCAGGTGCCCCCTCTGGGCCAAGGATTTCTTGTGCGTCCAGTCCAGCTCAGAGTCGGCAGGACTGAATGTCCATCCAGCCAGAATCACCAGGCTTATTCTCAGGACCTTTAAGCTCATCATACCTCCCTCCAGCAGTTTTTACAGAACCAGAAGTCAACTTCTGGGTACCACACTGGAATGATGGGGAGGAGAGAAAGAGGCAGCTAACAACAGATCTACAGTCACCAGGGAAAGTGTTTTGTCCACAGACCAAACTTTCTTAAGCAGCTGCAGAGAGCACCTCTTCTCACTACCTGCCCTGGATCCTCCTCTGCTAGCGTGGCTTCCGGGCTCCTCCACTCTGTGGGCTTCTCCTCACCTCAAAGTGCTCCCTTGACCTCTCTTCTTGCTCTACTTTAATCTTTGCAGAATGATGTTGATTTCTCTTGGTTCCTATAAATTTCCTCCCAGAGAGCTCAGGTTTCTTTTTTTTTTCTTCTTCTTCTTCAATAGCCCCTCCCCTCTCTGATCCTAAAAGAGGGCCCCATGAACCTGAGCCAAATTCTCTCAAATGCACACTCACTCGCAAACACACCCCCCTAGCTACCTGGAGTCATTAAGAATAATCTTATTCTCTAATTTTCAGCTCTGTCTCCTTCTTCCTTCTCTCAGAGCTGCCTTCTCTCTGTAGCCCTTAACTCAAAATGCATTTACCTCCAAACGAATTGCTAGAAGAACTTTTATATAGAGAGACACACAAGATGATGCTTATTCTCTAAAAATGCAAAAAGAATCCAGGGGCACAAGAACCCAAGCTTGTACTTAACTTGCTCTCTCCAGTTGTCCTCCTCAGCCAGCTCCCAACCAGCTTCCAGTCTGCCTGTGCAGGTTAGAATTTTTCCCTCTGCCTGGTTCTTGGGGTTGTTGATTATTGAAGGTGTTTTATCTCCTTCCAACTTGTTGGTATGTTGCAAGTCTCCGTAAAGTTCTCCTTTGGGGTGCCAGTCTGTTGTTCTAGTAACCTTCTGAATCTGAGAGCCCTTGACTTCACGTTCTGAGAGTCTTGTAGGTCCCTGGGAAGACTGAAAAGACAGTGAGAAGAAGAGCACACACTTCAGGGGACCTGTTCTCTCCAGTCTCTCCTCCCCTTCTCTCCCTTTCTCTCGGCCTGTGATTATCTTCTTGTTTGTTTCATTTAAAGACAATGATGATGTCAAAGCTAATAAGTTCGGTGCATCACTCCACCTACTCCCTGTCCCCTCCTTCCTCCTGAAAACCTCCCCACCTCACCGAGGCACTGGGGAGACAGTCTAGTCGGGACAGACGCTACTCTTGGTTTCCCCAGTAAACATCTCGGGCTTTCTCTTTCAGCAGCCGCAGCCTACACAATCAATAGCAAACAATCAATACTGTTTTGGAGCACTCTATTCTGTGTGTAATCTGTCTCTCTCTTTCTCACACACACATACACACACACACACACACTCACAAACTGTTGTGAACAGACCTTTCTACTGCCTAATAAATCCAAACTAGCCTTTTAGGGAAGGCTTGCATCTCTTTCTTTTATCTTGTCACAAACCTCCTGTATTTTTTTTTTTTTTTCAATTATTTGGGACTTAAAAGAACAATACCCCAAATTCACTTTATATTGGTTATTGGGAAAAAGGAGAAATCAATTATCCTGCTGTGAGAAGCATTACGTGGGAATGCCATAAATGCATACTAGCCAGATCTTCTTTTTCTCTCTGAAGTTTCTCAATCTGAAGTTACTAAAAGTCACCATATGCTGAGTGAACGTATAAACAAATGAGATGTTCAAAATCAGTAATTTACAAAAATGAATAGCCAGATTCAGAAACTATTTGTTCAATTGATTTGAAGTGAATGGATCAGATGGGGAAGCAAACAATGTGATTTCAGCCTCGGTAATAAAGTTTGCCTAGATGCAGGCTATCTCTGAGTGTCTCCACCCCCTAATCACATGTGCATGTACACACATACACACACCACGTACACACCCAGAGAGCATGGTTCTGAATGCTCAACACAGGTAAGGATGTTTGACCACAGGTGGATACCAAACAGGTAGAGAAATACATTGGATCCTTCATTCAATCATAAGACAAATCACGTACACTTTTAAAACCACTGCTTGTGCTGCCCACGTATAAAACATGCAGCCTACATACTCTGGAGTAAGAACACGCTGCCTCTTCTGCCTTGGGTCTCCTCATCGTCTTCTAAGCGCCTCTACCCCAGCTAATAACTGACTTACTTGCCTTGAATGCTGTCTCCTGAGCCACCTCATCCCCAGCACACCACTGGAGCCTCAAAAGCAAGTTCCCAAAGAAGAAATGAATCCAGGCACGTGGACACTATTGCACAGATAGCCATCTATCCTAGGCTGTCCTTTTTTCTTTTAGCATTTCCCTATCTCCCTCACTTTCTGACTCAGTCCTTTTTTTTTTTTTTTTTTTTTTTTTTTGATCTGAAGCAGTTCAAGAATAGATTAGGGTTGGGGTGAGGGTAGTAGAAAAAGTCAGAGACGGAAAGACAGAGAGATAAACAGAAAGACAGACCAGAGGAAAGAGACCAGGAGAGAAAGGAGGGGAGGAAGGAGAGGAGCATTAGTTTAAGTAAAGGAGATACTCAGGTAAGAAAAGGAGAAGGCAACTTCCCCCTCCCTCTTGCCACCCCCGGGACCCTCAGAAAAAGGTTTCATACCATTCATTTCAGGAAGGAGGGATAACACAGCAAGGAAGAAGAATCCCGCCTTGCTTTTCTCCCCCTTTTAATGTGTAAATGATCTTGCATCCCCTATAGGTCTCTCCTGGCTTTCTGCTGCTAGTAATCCATTCATAAGGTTTCAAGAAGCTACACAAAACTCAAGCTTCCAGTTTAGTTTCTCTCTCTCTCCCCTTCATTCCTTTGCTCACCACTCTCCTTCAGCTCTTGGCAGTCCAAAGTTTAAAAAAAAAAAAATGTTGAACCATTTCTGTGTTTTCCTCCTGTTGTAACTTTTGCTGTGACATCATAACCCTGCCCACCAACACCCCACCTCACTCTCTCCTTTCCATCCCACCCCTCACCAGCCCCAGACCCCCAAAACGCCCCCCTACGGAGAAGGAGGGCTCCTGTCAGTTCCAGTGTGTGAAAAACACAAAGCTACTAGAAGGTGCCCCCTCCCTTCTCTCGGCCCCCCTCCTTCCTCCCCCTCCCTCCCTTACCCAACGCTCAGCCTCGGCTCTCTCAAGGCTTTTAACAATGATCCCATCTGTTTGACATGTGCGGAAAGGTGGGCTGGATTCAGATAATCCATCAAGTGAATCAGATCAAAAACACAGCAACCCCCTCTTCAATTCCACACACACACACAGACCCCAAAAGCAAGCCAAAGTGTGAGAGGAGTCAGACTTGCACAGCACCCACCCTCGATGCCAGAGAGAAAGACACCAAATATGCCAAAGGAAACCCAAAATTTCATACATCTATGCATAAATTCTGTTGCTTATTTGTTTATGCCAAACACCCGCACCCCAAGTCCTCTGCCCCTCTCCCCCAAGCCCTGCCACTCGGCAAGTGCACAGATTTGAGAGCTGGTAGAGTCTGTTTGAAATCTCCAACAAGAGGGTTTTTCCCCCTTTTTTCACTCCTAAGCACTATCTGTGGCGATCAGACTAGAGCAGGGTTGCCAGCAAATGCAGGAGGCCCCTTCTAGGGTACAGGCTTTCAACCCAGCGAAGCTGGAGGGAATGGATTTAAGGACACACAGCAGGAGCTGGCTGAATGTATTTTATTTTGACGGGTGTAGCTGGGGGAGGAATATCATTTCTGAAATGCCCAAGGAATGAAGGGCGAGGATATGGATTTCTTAAACAGTTTTTTGCAAGAGGAGCGGTGTCTTCTTGTTCTGCAGGTAAATCTATAAGACAAGAAATTGGAGCTTACAGATAAACAAGGACCGAGAGGGAGAGGCAGGGAGAGGCAAAGGAGGAAAGAGAGGGGGAGAAGGAGAAGAGATGGGAGATGGGAAAGTGGAGAGGGGGAAAGAAGGGGAGCAGGGCAGAAAGGGGGCAAAGGGAAAAGAGGCGGAAGGAAGGCAGGAGTGAGGGGAAAGAAGGCAAGAGGACAGGAGGGGAGGAGAGGGGGAAGGGAGGGTTGAAGGGGAAAGGAGTGAAATGGAAGGGGGAGGGGAAGGGGACGAAGGAATAACAGAAGAGTCTGGGAGGAGGAAGGACTGAAAAAGAGGAGCAGGGAAGACAGGAGAGAAGAATGAAACAGAGAGGAAGAAAAAAGAGAAAGAGGTGGTGAGCCTCATACGATATGGGGACCAGGAGAGCAGTTAGATCCATGCTGGTTAAACACAGAGAAACTGCAGAGGCAGGTGAAGAGAGAAACTACGAAACGGGGCAGAGGTTAGGCTTTATGCACAGAAAACAAAAGACACCCAGCAGAGGACTAACTCTTAGTGATCTGACGTATTTAAAAAATCAGATTACAAGGCTTCAACCTTGTCTCTTTAAGTAAACCCCTGTTCTCTCCTCTTTCCTCCCTCTACCTCTTCCTTCAACACCCACCTCCACTTTCCTCCTTTCAGCTTTTTGTTCCCAGCATACTTTCCCTGAAGAATTCATGAGTAAAATTCAGGCACCCACCCCCCTCCCCAACAAAAAGCCCACCCTGAATAGCCCCCTTCTTTGCTTCTATCAGATGGACTACCCACAGAGGGTCCTGAGTCCTCTTATCTAAAGACTGGACTGTTTGTGACAATCTGCAGTAATTGCAACTCAAATTATACTGTTTCTCCTTTAGAGCCCAGGCCGCCAAGGCTGTTTTGCTTGTATTTGCTGCCATAATGGGGCTGGTCAGTTTCCATTAGCATTGTCATCATTATTAATAAGAGCCTTTGAGCACAGGGAGGAGCCAGCCCCTACGTTGGCGTCCACTTGCAGTATAGAGCATTAGCGGAGAAAGACAGAGACCCCTTGATATGGTCACTGCTCCTCTCTGACTTTCTGATTCCAAAATCTGATCCCTAGAGGGAAAAGCTCATCTGGGAGCCAGCCAGGGAGCGTAGTAATAAAAGCCTCCCAGAACACAACTAAATGCAATATCTATATATAGGAGCCAGATCTGTTTTAGCTACTTGCAGTCTAAAATGACACCCGGAAACAAACATTTCAGCAATATGTTTATAGGAATCTTATTCAGCGAGTGCTGGAAAGAGTGAGCTTCTCTGAAGGATTTCACTCGAAGGTTCGGGTTGTTGCTTTCTGCTCCAGCGCGCAGAGCTGGGAGTCAGTGGCTCTACCATTCATGGGGTAACCTGAGATCCCTTCAGGGGCACCTACTACAGCCCCGTTTTCCAAGGGTGAAGAAACAAAGGTGAAACCACACAATTAATGGCAGGGCCAGATATAGTACCCACCCAGGTCTCCTGAATCTCAATCCAGTTTTTTGACTCCTCTGGCTATAGGCTGCAGCTTCACCTGTCTGCTGGGCTGGAGTCATGCATTAATATCAAAACCAAACCAAATCTGTTGCCATCGAGTCAATTCCAACTCATAGCGACCCTACAGGACAGAGTAGAACTGCCCCGTAGGGTTTCCAAGGCTGTAATGTTTAGGGAAGCAGACTGCCACATCTTTCTACCTCAGAGAGGCTGTTAGGTTCGAACTGCCAACCTTTTGGTTAGCAGCCAAGCACTTAACCACTGCACCACCAGGGCTCCTGAATAGGAAACATAGAAAGTATCAAAGACTGGCCTCCCCTGTTCCCCCTCCAGGCAAAAATGTCCAGGGAATATATGTTGGTCATCTGTGTTCTGTAACGCAGAATCACAGCACTCAGAAGGGAATGCAAATCAGGATTTCACTCTCCTCTCTGTGCTTTTTGAGCCAAGAGAAGCCCTATCTTCTTGGCGAAAGGTTTGGTGCTCCGTATGTTAGATAATCATATTTTCTTTTTTTTCCTACTACACAATTACTATTACAAATTACTATCGCTGTTAACGGTAGTAATTTGCAAAGTGCTTTTCATCCAAATAGATCAAAGTATTTCATAGA